CATCAAAATTCTAATCACTGCTAGTAAGTTAGAAACTCATGGAAAGAAAAGTCAAAAAAGCGCAGTATGCATTCATGAAAAAAAAACTACAAAAACTACCATCAACGATAACTTTTGCAAGGTATGCAATTCAATATCCAACCCTTCATCCAGTCTTTTCTGCACCAGTTCATCTCTATTCAATTATTTAATCTTTGACAATGACTTTATTAGCAAGTCTCACGTACAAGCCCGCATCTACTCATTTCCTATTCATTTCTGGGATGATTGACATTTCGTTTTTCTTCAGGCCTCATTCATCGGCGCATTTATAGAAACGCAAATGTTCGCAGAGTTCGCAAAGCTTTGCCTGAGGGCACTTGAGGGGCTAATATAAGAAGGAAGTACTGAAGTAGTAGCAGTTCCTATCGAACAAAATGTGTTGCTGCTATATGCTGGAAAAAAATTTTATACTTGAAGGCTTATTGGAGAACTAGTTTGAATAACAATCTCCAAAAATTGCAAATACAAAAATTTGAGTATGTGATTCTAGAATTTTTGGAAGTAAAAATCTCACTAATTGCCCAGTATGTAAACCTTTCAAATCCATATGCCACCGTAACTTCTAGCGCGGAAAAACTCCTGAGCAAACAATTATTATGGTTATCGTTTCGCGATATGAATGCTTTGCAAACAGAAAACTATGGACAGAGAGTGAAACACCATTACATTCAAACATGCAATTTTCCTTAGCAATATATGCACGGCATCTAATGAACCATGAGGGAAAAGAAAAGGGAATGCTGTTCTTGCATTCCCCAAGATTCCGTTCAAGAGCAGCTGAGTCCCAAAAGCATTGGTAGAGCAATTAAGCGACTCTCCCACTCATTCGACTGATGAAAGAACAATGGCCATTCGAATGCACATGCAACAGAGCAAAGTGCACGAATCTAACCGAACCTTCTTTGACAAAACGAACGACGATTTGCTATTCGAAAAATACCAGATGTGCCGGCAACACGTCGCCAGCCATCGGCGGTGCTTTCTATAATCCACATCCGTTCACTAATATCTCTCACACGTCCTGCCGCATCCAAACTAAGCAGAATTAATCCAACGCCAGCTGTGGCAAGAAGACTTGCTGGTGCCGGCGCGATGCACGGCAAATTACAAAAAGTGCAAGTATACTTCTGCGGTTACGCTCAATGTTAGGGAGGAGGGAAGTGAGAGGATTAGTTGAGGCATATATGGTTGCAGGAAATTCTATAAAGGTGATCCAAAAGTAATGCGGCACCTCAAGTCTCCGGACATTCCTTAAGGTTTCTTTCTGATTTAAGAACAACCAGCAATTTGAACGCTTTTGTATAAAGTGATCATCGCTATCCTGACAGCACCCTACAGCACCTCAACCACAGTACTCGGCGCTTCGAAGAAGTCACACTTTTTTTGAACGCCATTCGGACTTGTACGGCTGTACCGGAAAGTCCCTAGACAAATGGCATATCAATCGAAAGAACTTTCCAAGTTCTTCCTATTGATCATTAAACTGAACAAAAATTTTCTATTATTCTGTACAAAAGACACGCTATTCAGAAAATTCTACGTTTGGCGCAAATCAAGCTGAAAATCATGTTTTGGCCCGCAATTTTTTTGAAAATGAGAAAAGTTAAGGTAAATTGCATGTGTACGGATAGGACGTAAGAAGCTCTACCGACCACAACTGCCAAGGCTAAGCTCATCTGATTGTTTGATGAAAGAATAAATGATATGCCTTCCAATACCCAATTCCATGTCTTCTGTTCTTCTATCTTTTTTTGGTATCATCTTCTAAAACTTGGACTTCCAAATTTATTTTGTTTGAAAAATTGTACTTTTCTCTAGCTGCCTCATTACTTTTGGATCACCCTAATAATTAGTAGCAGAACTGCCCTCACCCAAAATTCAAACTGAGCAGGATATGATATTTGAAATAAGTAGGCAAATCCAAAAAATAAATCCATAAACGGAATGATTCAAAGGTGCTCCAAAACCATTCGTAGCAAAAAAAAATCTAGTACAGAGGACGACCTACGAGAACACCAATCGCTTCATTTTCGCTACCTCTCACCTCATCTCCTCCCCCCCCCCCCCCTCCCCCCGCCGCTCCATACTTCCCTGCATAGAACCTCTGGACTAAGTTCAACTGATCGCATTGTAATAACTACATCACCATGTATCCATAATTAGCAAGATTCTGCATAGAAAGTGAAAACAAAAAGCAAATCTCACGAGAGAAATTACAAGGGCACACTATTCACAGGCAAACCTACAGAAATCTTGAAGTGAATTTTGACATGCTATAATTCCAATAATGATCTCACTATAAGCGATGCCTAAATGACAAACCCAGGCATATCACAGGTTACGTATTCTACAATGCACTTTCATAATGATGCGGTTGCTGTAGAACTGCCGAAAGAGCTACGCCAATTGCCTCCAGCAAGGGGGGTGTCTTCAAAAAAAAAAAACTACAAATCTGGTTTGCTGCCTGAATTGTACACGTTCTGAAATAAAGAAACCTCGAGTATGCTCAGCATATTTTTTTGAACAAGCATCGCAATCTTTTATCGCCGAAAAAAATTCCATTTTTTACGAAGTGCACCGCTACAAAATCCATCCTCTGTCATTGATATCGTATACAAACATATTTACTCATTATAAAAAAAAACCTCTTCTGCCACTGGATCGTAATTCAATAGGGTTGACCTTTTCCAAACTACGGAAATTGAGCGAAAGGCATGACTGCAAAAATCGTTTGCAACAGCTCTTGAATTCTCTAAAAAAATCTTAGAACTAGTTAGCGTGCGGATGCTTTCATAAGAAATGCGGGTAGGAGCATTGCGAAAGAAAGGGTAAGAGGTTATGAAGTTTTATGACTTCCAGCTCATAAAATTCTGAAGGGAGAAACCAGTAAAGGAGAATATCGCTTGCTTCAATGTGCTTTGCAAAAAAAAACTTCAGCTAGTCTTGTTTCATCTCTCTCTCTCTCTCTCTCTCTCCCTCTCTCTCTCTCTCTCTCTCTCTCTCTCTCTCTCAATACTAACTTAGATGTTCATCTGCAATTACACAAATTCTCACGAAAATCTGCAGTGATGTTTATGTTAACACTTGCAGCAATCATTTACCCTCTGTTTTACGATGTTATAAATCAGATCTCTCTCTCTCTCTCTCCCTCTCTCTCTCTCTCTCTCTCTCTCTCTCTCTCTCTCTCTCAATACTAACTTAGATGTTCATCTGCAATTACACAAATTCTCACGAAAATCTGCAGTGATGTTTATGTTAACACTTGCAGCAATCATTTACCCTCTGTTTTACGATGTTATAAATCAGATAAAACGTTATGAGATGAACACAACATCTCTTACCACCGCTAACAATTCAGAAAGAATCAAATATCTCCATAAAAAATTTTGTGTAACTTCATGGCTACGCTATCTACTGAATTCCTAAATTTCTAACCAAAAAGATGAAAGCCATTTACTTCATTTATACACGTATTCTGCTTTTTTTTGGAAATCTGCAGAGCAGACACAGTGTTATAGTGCAATTCCACAAGCATGCAAAATGCAAAGAATTCCCATTCTCATTCTTATGTTCCCACGAATCCCACGACTCACACAATTATGGCATATATAGATACTTTTGCAAGAGACAAGGGCCTGCAATTAGAAAAAAAGATCAAAGATCTGAATAGCTTTACAAAGCGAAACCATCATTAGTAATTCGATCGTTCGCTTCAGTACCTTTACCGCAAATCATGTAAGTTGCTAAGAGATAGGATATGCCACTCACTTCACGAAGTAGGACAAAAAAGCCATCAAAATTTCATTAACGCACTCACAATGAATAGAAAAAATGCGAAATGTCTTGCATAAGACAGTTTCTGTCTAAATGTGCACGTGTTCAAAAAACAGAAATGGAGAAGAAATATCGAAAATGGATACAAAATGTTTGAGGCTGAGCTTCAAAAAATGGCCATAAACTGTTGGTTCAAAGTACGACTCGGTACTCCCTGATTAAATGCACTACAAGCGACTAGGATTAGCTTACCATGAAAAAAAAATCGGTGACATATGCCCTTCTCCCTTCAGCTATTCGAAAGTTTAGTCACTTGGAAGCAATGAAATGTTAGATTGCGCAAAAAACGAGCAATAAAAACAGTGCGCGGCAATTTGAAGAAACATCGGCGGCGAAAAAAAATGACGAGAGGGGCGCAAAGAAACAACAAACAGATGTCGCACAAATGTTTTTGGAATACACGTAAGGATGCAAAAACAGGAAGGAAAAGAGGCTAGAAAAGAGGATGCCTCATGAGTTTTCAAATTTCAAGAGGTAATGATCTTTTGATAAAATACAGCTCTAAGTAAAGATAGAGAAGGTCCTGGTAAACAACTGTCAGTTCTGAACTACTACAATGTAAGTGAAAGTGGAGTTTGGGCTTATAAAGGAAAATTTCAAAAAGTGATTTACCGGTATAATCTGCAAAAAAACCATTAACAGGTTTTTTTTGAAAATTTTTTGTTTTCAACTTCACTTGGGTACAGCTAGATACACAGCTGCCAAACAGCTGGATCTTATGAGGGAAATAGCAAAAGTAATGTTCGTTCAGTGTAAATTTTGTTGTACGAAAAACCAAAGTCCTCTGGGTCAGCGAGCTCATTAAGCTAGCAAAGCAAAACTTAGCTTCCAGAGAATCGCACAGTCACAGCACAACAAGATATGCACCAAAAAAGGGAAAAATGAAATAATCTTCCCCGAGTCAAAAATAAATATAAGGACCATGATAGCTTAAGAAGCATGAAAATTGAAAAAAAATAAAAAAAATATAAAAATTTCTTGAAAGTCTTGTATGAATGTGAATTGCACATATCGTGTCTTTGTTCTTCTGAAGCGGTGAAGGAACTTTTTTCAAACTTCCCAAAATTTTGGGATTACAGATGCAAAGCAAATTGAAGGAGAAAAATGATGTAAAGATCACCCACCTTTGACATGCACCTCGAACTCGTGCATAATAGCTTTCTCTTGCTTGGCGCTTGATAACTTCTTTGTGTCGGTGGTATTGGTCGAGGCCATACTAGCGCGCATATCACAGTCTCGATCCTCTAACCTCATTTTTATTCGTGAATGTGCTCTCGTTTCCTATCAATGTCGGGATGGATTGGCTATGAGGTCAGTCGCAGTTTTGTGACGAGAACGTGAGTAGCATCGACTGTAACGAAAACACATTTGGAACCACGGCTTATGAGGTGCAGCGGCACATTTGATCGATGTGTCAAAACATTTATTACGAATCGACGATGACGCAAATATGGAATGTGATAGAAATCAATCTTCTGGAAAACCTCATCATAACAAAGCATGGCTGAAGAGAATTTCTAGGCAAATTTGGGCACATGAATTTTTTTTTTGCGCTCTCGTTTCCGAAACTAACTGCGAAGCTTTGGCCAAACTGCAGCCAAGCGGCAGCTCACATAATCCATTCGTGACCAAGAAATCCAACAGTAAACTCCAGACCAAATCGTACTCTCTACCGTACTCAAGAAACGCTGATTGGTCAGCTCAGAGGTTACGGTCTGGGCTGGACTTTAGAGCTGAATTTTACGATCGAGAGTAAGCCATACGAGCTGACGACTATAGACGGCTCAGGTGGACCTCCCCGTCAGTCGGATATCCAAGATTTGCCCAGACACTCATTTTAGGGCAGAATACAGCAGTTTAAGGACTAGAACAAGTAGCAAATGAGGAAATCGAAAAATTCCGCAGATAGCGTAATCGACTTCGAAATGCGATTTCCAATCCATAGTGACATTCTCCATGATTCATCACCGAAAGAACCGACGAAACAGATATGATAACATTTTCACAAACCAAATCAATCACTAATAATAACCGATTCTCCTTTGGAAAAAATAACAAATGATGAGTCAGCCAGTATGGGAAAGTTAAGAATGGAAATGAGGAGTTTGATAGATGAGATTGTAATAATAATGAGCACAAGCGATTTCTTCATCCTGTAATATATATCCCCCATCCCCCTCTCAAAGTACACGACAATTATAACTGAGACAGAATGCGGTAATTGCCTCAACTGACACATCATTTACGATACGATACGTTCTACTATAGTAACGAAACTTGCTTTACTCTTTCTAGTCGAGCACCACCTTCTTCCTAAAACCTAAAAAAAAAGAAGTAAAGAAGCAGATGTGAAAAAGAAGAGAAAAAAATTCCCATTTCAACAGTTGGGAAACTACAGATGCATCTGACAGCCAGTTTATAAGTAGTTTTTAATGATCACATTAAGAGCTTCTGGCTAAAGTTTACGTAAATGTCACATGCACTAATGCAGTGGACGTAAAAAAATCATAAACTAACGTTAGCAGAGAGGATGGGTGAGCGCGACGGAATAGAAAAAATCTCCTGCCTCTAGTCCTTTATCAGATTACCGGCTCAAAAAAATAAATCCATATATGCATCTTTTCTTGAAAATTGGATATTTCACCATAGAGCAAACACAAAATAGACACAAGTAGCCAAAACCTAGGGAAAATTTCAGAAAAAAAAAAGCCTATAGGCTGGGAGAAACGAGTGTGCGTACGGAACTATGGACGAGCTACAACTGGAACTACATAAGAAACGCAAACAGACTACGAGCTTTCACTGTAAACGACTCTTGCGATTTGATACCTTTCTTTGTTCGTACAAACATCTCCCTTAGCTTCTTCTGACATTAGCAAACCCAATCGAGGAGCTTTGAATTCCAAAGTAAGAAAGAAAAAGCCAACTTGAGCATTTCCAAGAGCAAACATTCCAGATACCGATTCAGGCGATTAAATAATAATTCGCAAAAAAGATGGTCGAGCTTGAATTGACGCTGGAAACAGAAGAAAGAAAAAAAAGAAAAAGAAAATAAAATTTGCTAGTTTGCAAATTACACTTTTATAAGCACTTTTGAGAAATTGAACAAAAACATGGAAAAATTGCTAGTTTGCGTGTCACACTGTCGCATTTTGAAGGTGTCAATCGCAATCTGTGCAATTATCCAAATTATGTGAATTACACTAACTTTCTGAGCCCAACTGTTGGTTAATCGCATTTTTTCAACAACAAAAAAAGCGACCCTCCAAGCCCTGCAGCCCAATGATAATTATTAGATGACACGCAAGTACAGCATAAAAAATGACTTTACCAGAGCTTCCCCTAAGACTTCTGCTCACAAGAGAAAGAAGCACAGAAAGGGATAGCAGGAATCTCATCGTGGCAGCTAGTAGCGATAACATCGAGGTAGTGTAAACATAGCAAATTCAGAAAAACAAGACAGGCGATCGTACACTTCTCCATTTTTTCCGCAATTCTAGTAAGTCTTTACGCAGTGATAACCTAGCTTGTACTGCAACAAACGAAAAAAATGAATTTCTACGAAATGAAAGTATACTGTGGTGGGCGCAAAGGCGTGAAGTGTGAAATAAAGATTTGTAACGTCGTAAAAGCATCTCATTAACCTACATCAGATAAGAAAACTTTGGCGATAAGCAGGATCCGAGAATCTTTTTCAGAAAGCTCATCGTCTTACGAGTTTCATTGTCAGCTCAATAAAATTCTACTTTTTGAAAGTACGTAAATAAAGAGCTCTCAAAAGACTCACTATTTGACTGACAGGAAGTCTCTCCTTCCAATAAGATTGATAAGAAGCTTTTTGCTTCATTTCTTTGAAAACTCTAGTGGATCCAAGAATTAGTCTACCGCTTCAAATAAAGTTTCAAAAGCTTGACTTTTGTTTCAATAAAGTTGACACGTGTTGTTTTGAAGCTCCTTTACAAAAATAAGCGAATAAATTGGAGAATATGGGGTTGGGGCCACGGTGTACCTCAAGACTCTACTATCTGAATCTACCAAAAAACTAATTGGAGCCCATGTGCCGAGCCACTGCCTCTAAGGTAGGTGTTTTATGATTCCCTCGTGAATTTTGAAAAGCGTTTTGACCTCGACTGGGTATAATCGAGCACAACAAACTCGGGGACAATAAAGAAGAAGTTTTGATAACAAAAGGCTCAGCGGAGTGACTCTGCACAAAATTGTGAGGTCATCCAACATTGTGAAAACTCGGCGGAAAATCTCTGTATCAAAGTTCTCATATCAATACCAACAGGCACTGCTTTGGCACAAAATCTCTATTAGAGAAGTTTGGATGCTAAAGTGTTATCAGCAAATAACAAGCTGGTTTGTACTACATATGATTCTGGTTGTCGTACCCTCGTACGATTGCTGCGAAAGTTTAGCCGTTTTTCAGTGCATAAAATCAAGATAATCCTAAGTCAGTGTTTCCTTAAACAATCTGTAACTCCCCACTGTACACTGATTCGCCAAAAGAAACAACCCCAGTAAAATCATAGAAATAAACATATCACGATTAAACCAATCTCGTCTACACTTCCACGATAAGCCAAATTAGCGCACAACTGAGATAGGAATGTCACCAGATCGCATGAATGCTAATGCTTTCTCATCGAATGTGACGTTTCGCATAAGCATTAGCAATCGTAGCGATTAGCACAATAAGACCATAGAATATGTGCTCCATTTAGCATCCGCTGAAACCGGGCGCACATGCTCCGATTACAGCGCGTGAGGCTGGTCATCCAGCCATTTTAGCCGCGTACGTCGGCAGCTCCAGCTGTGCGTACACACTCGAAAAAGCAATGATTCGTGAAAAAATCATGGACAGGCAGCAGCGGTAGGGGCGCCATTTCTAGCCGATGGGATTGCATTTGAAGCAGAATAGTAGATTTTGCAAAAAAATGTATGGGGTGGGAATGAGGAAGGGGAGAGGGATGTACAAGGACATCATCAAAAACATTTTTCGTAACGACATTATTGAATTCTAAGATCACTCCAAGAAATACCAAGGCATTTTGAGTACTTGGGCTTCTTGAATGGGAACGATTGGCAGGCCCCAACTACGCTACTGCCTAGGCGGGAACCCACATAAATCCTTTGTGATTGTGAAATTCAATTCTGAACTCTAGACCAGACCGTAAACCTTACCGTACACGAGGACCGACCGCGATTGGTCCCCTAAGGAAGATTACGGTATGGGCTGGAAGTCTGGGTCAATCTCGTCCACTAGTGGAACCTCCACTGCTTTGGCAGCAGCTCATAGTCAGCTAAGGTATTTTTTATATACCTAAGAAGTTCAACCCCCCAATCTGTCTCGACAATGTGTTTGAGCAAAAATTTATTTATTTATGGGCAATGTTTGATCTTTCCAGGAAGCATCCCCTCCCACCTTTTTGTTCGACTATGGGGAGTTCTGGATATGCACTTTGGGCTGCAAGTATTTGAGAACAACATTTGTCTCCTTTTACTGCAAATGTCGTCCTCTATGGGCTTCAAAACATATGCGGCAACATACGCAAGTATGCAGAAAAATAAAGGAAGATGCTCTTTCGCAGGAGCACTTAAGAGGTTAAAAGAGAAAAAAAGGCAATAAAGATGTCGAGAGGTCCTTCGCCAAACAAGAAATATGCATTCCATGCTTATAAATTCTGCTCGGACAAACTCCCACTAATACCATGCTCCGAAAAGACTTAAAACTCGTGCATAGACAAATGAAATTATCTTGAAAAGCTGGTCTATGTTTGCAATCAAATTTTGATTAATTCGAGTGACTGGACTTTCTCTCGTAAATCAAAATGTCAATCGAAATAGCTGGATATTAAGTTGAAAAAACTGCACCATAGCTTGGATTGTCAGCTTCCCGTAAAGTCCGGTAGACTTATCAGCTACCAAAGCACAAATTCAAACATAATAACAGGCTAAACAAATTCTAGCTTGAAGCAAGATTTCATAGCGACTGGAAGTATTGGAGGATTCAGACTAAAGAACAATGACTTTGTAGATAAATCTTAATAAAGGCAAATTATAGCATTTGAACCACCTGACGCACATATATAACAGCAATTTTCAAAACTGCAACGCGTGCGTGAAACGATCAAACTGTCTTATATGAAGGCTTTGCAGAAAAGCTGACTACAGCGACAGAGACTCCATCGTATCGAATCATTGATTTCGAAAGGCAGTCAAGCCAAGTGTGAAGACAGATATGCAGGAAAAAAGGTAGAAAACCAATGAAAAATGCGATGACTCATAATCGCGAAATTTTGGGATGAAATGGAAAAATGACGAAACAGAAGCGCAGCAAGACTTTCAGACAGCAAGACATGCCTTAGTATAGATATTTGACG